AGCTGGTGCCTTTCTCTTCGGCGCTGACTTTTTGAATTCGTAAAAGATTTCCAAATTCCAAAACTGAAATATGACAATATTAGAATCAGAAACAAAAGTGATATGGTTCAAAAGACTTGAAAAGATCGACTTTGTCTCAGTTTTTCGGAAAATCCTTCCCAGTATGAATTGTGCAATGACTGGAAGTCCGAGATTCTTGATGCGTCTTTTGATGTACTGCTATATTTGATTATTGTACTATTATAATTCACTATACAATGGCCCAGAAAACAGGGACTAGATTACAGCTGAGGGATGCAGAGATATTTTCAGTTCATGTACAATATATTCTATTTCTATCTATATGTCTAATTCATTAACTAAATAGGGCAAGGACTAAGACGAGTGAGATGAATCTGGGGGATCCTTGTCACAATTGGATAAGACTGTGCAACGTGCCAAGAGGCCTGGCTGACTGTGCACCAACGAAGAGACACTAAGTCTAAACCATGGTCGCCTCCCACTATAGTTTGTGTATAAAAATCATTGTATAGGCGTAAATATTCAGTCTCTGCATGGGAATGTCAGCACAGACTCCTTGTACAAGTATGACTTTCTAAAATTGGAATAAGTAAATTATCTGGACTTTATTTCAGTTTCAAGTGTAATTTTTATCTAAGCAGAAACTAACAAACACTAAGGTATTTTCCTCAACAGTACCTGTAAATAGTTGCTGAAACGGGCGGGTTTTAATGTTCTGGAGTTTTACGGGCAGGTATGCAAGCAGGTAGTGATTACACACAGGCGGGTCAGGTGAATAAAATGAACAATGAACGGGAGAAAAATACTTGATGTGCGTCCAGGACGTCCGTTACCCTGGAAACAAAGTGCCATTTCCTGGTCTTTTCCCGGAGAGATGGCAGACCAAACTGAGACTGAGAGAGACTTTAGTGTATGTATTACATAAACACATCAGAGGAGGTGATCGGCTGGGCAGCTGCACTCCTGGTTTAGTCCTGCTTTAAACCTGGTTAAATCCTGGTTTAGTCCTGGTTTAAACCTGGTTAATTCCTGGTTCAGTCCTGGTTTAGTCCTGGACTACTGGGCTGTGGGACTAATGGGTTGACCCTGATTTATCACGGTTCCGGAATGTTAGTGCAGATTTCACTTTGATATAATTGTGGGTGTGGTTCTGTACTGTGCAGGACTCTGATGTGCAGGAGTTTCATTAGCAGGTCCACGCTGATTGTGTTGTGATAGCGCTCTGAAGGGGGAGTGACTTAACACAGGGAGCAAACGGAGGGGGGACTCAGAACATAAAAAATGAAAATGACACTTAAGTGAATATTAATATGTTGTAATCAGTGAATATAGCATTTTCAAAACAATAAAAGGTAACATGGTGATTAAATATGTGATACAGTGTTAGAGTCAATACCCCACCCTCTTAAAAGAACCCTTTAAAAGAACACCACTTTTGACCATGTTATAACATTGTTCTCTCATCAAAAACAAGCCTGGACTTATACTTCACTTATATTTTAATTCATGCTGGTTTCATTAATCCTCTGAGTCTCACCAAACTCTTTGAAATTCCCAGGATTGTGATGTCACAGGTAGAGACAGTTTTGATCATATCCCAACTAAACTCAATCGCCTTATCCAAACTCTAACTGTGTTTTTGCTTATAAATCAAAAGCCTTTAGTCCATAAAATAGCACAACTAAACAAGAAGAAAAACAAAACATGTTTGACAGGTTTTTTTTTATGATCTGTTTAGCTAATTATGTAGATACTGTAGTGAATGTAAAAATAATACTGTTGCTATAGGATAAGCAGAAAACAGACTGGATTTTTCTGGAATTAGACCTGGGTGGACCAGTTCAGTGTGCTGCCTGAAGATCATTTCCTGTACCTGCATTTTAGAATCAAATCCATGTCCAGAAATGTGTTTTTTGTGCCTTGCATGTCCATGTATTACATGTATTTGCTCTGCACTCAACACTAACGATACGCTCAGCTGCATCACATTTGCATTATTTAAATTATAACTCCAGTGAAGTAAAAATGGAAATTGTATTGATACTCTGCAGAATGCTGGGGGTGTTCTACATGTATGTTTATGAATGGAGGATGGTGGATTGGCACACATTGCCTGAAAACTCAAGAAAAAACACTAAATGGATTTAAAGGGGCTGTCACACCTTTACCATTTAGCCAGCGTATGACGAAGTATCAAAAATGTAGCATGTTATAGGTAAGTTTTGTATAAGTTGTGAGCACGCTGAAGCACGCTGACATACGTCGACATACGGCAAGGTCGTCAGAAATTTTTGGTCATGCTCAAAATTTCTGGACGCACAGTCATGGACAAAATTGTTGGTACCCCTGTGGCAAAAAAAGACACTGCTTTTGAATGGTTGTTCAACAGAATTATTTAAAACAACAAACTAACTGCCCTGGACAAAAATGATGGTACCTCTAGAAAAGATGGTAAATACTTAGACAATAGGGACAATAGGGTTTGGCGAAATGATAGAGACAACACTGAACATGGACCAGAGAAGGTGAAGAACCTCCAAACAAATGTGAAGTGGAAGGACGAGGTACATCAGTGTCAGATCCATCACTGTTTGAGCCAAAGTGGACTTCATGTGAGGACACCACTCCTGAGAGCAAATCATAAAAATGTGAGATTGGAATTTGTCACAATGCAGATTAACAAGCCCAAAAGCTTCTGGTTGATTGTCTTTTCACTGTCCCTACGGAGGAGGTTTGGTTTTGTTCTGGGGCTGTTTTGCTGCATCTGCCACAGGGTGTCTTGAATCTTTGCAAGGTACAACAAAATCACAAAACTATCAATGTATTTTGGAATGAAATGTGTTGCCTAGTGTCAGAAAACTTGGTCTCGTTTGTAGGTCATTGGACTTCCAACAGGATAATGACCCAAAATACACAGATAAAAATACACAAGAATGGCTAAGAACAAAACATTGGACTGTTCTGGAGTGTTCTTCTGTGCCCATGTCTCAGTCCTACTGAACATCTGTTAAAAGAGCTGAAACATGCATTTGGAGAAGGAACCCTTCAAACCTGAGACAACTGAGAAATGTTTCAAAATACCTGTTGACCAGAGCAGAAGTCTCAATGACAGTTACAGAAATCGTTTGTTTGCAGAGTTATTGCAAAAGGTTGTGCAACAAAATATAAAGTTAAGGTGCATCTTTTTTGTCAAGGCCAGTTTCATTATTTTGTTTTTTGTAATGATTCTGTTGAACCACAGGTGAAAAACAATGTTTGATTTTTGTTGGACAGTTTTCAGTTTCATGTTTTTTGTGTGTGTTTATACATCCTGCATGCACGGCCAAAAGTTGTAAGTAAGTTATGCAATCGTTGACACAGGTTCACACACGTTAATTGTAAGTTACTCATAAGTCCAAATATGTTGAGATAGTGTCTAGTGTACCTATAATTGATGAGTAACATGCTTTAAACTTGTGTGTAACTTGTATTGAACTTATCTCCAAAGCACACTGACATATCCAGACGTATTTGACATGTTCTGACGACCATAAACTTACTGAACGTGTTTCTAACTCGTAGCTGCCGTGTAATGGTGTATTGGCAGCGTGTAGAGAAGTCGGTTTATAAAAATGGGGAAAGCGTCAGTCCTCTTCCAGACTTCATGGTGAGCAGACCCCGTGGTACCACACGCTACACAGATCACCTGAGAGATGGAGGATCCAGCAAGATTGAGACGAGAATACAGACTGGCTGATTAGTTTCTAGTGCGATGTCTAGTGCAGTTATGAACCGTCGAGCAGGCAGCCTTTTTATTGGCGACGACAAGTGAGCGTCTGCAGTATGCTGCCGTGCACTATGCATAAGTTAGACTGTTGTTGGGCATAAGTTGTGGACGACGACAACACGCTAAGCATTAGTTGGTATAAGTTACATTATATAAATTACCAAAACATTCTATATCAGTTACTATTTTGTTATTTATACATCTAACTCATTACAAATACACAAATAGTCTATGTATACTCCACAATTAAAAAAGAAAAAAAAAAAAAAACACTGGTAGCTCAGCATACGTCAGTGTTTTAGAGAAAATCTGGAATGTATCTGATACGCTGGCTAAATCGTCAAGGTGTGACAGGGCCATAAACAGCACATGTTCAGGAGCCTGTGAACACATGTTCATGGTCATATTAGGGTCCGGTCAAGCAGAAGTAAACAGCAAGCCCAAAATTTCAAGTTAATGCATCTGATATAAAAATGTATTGAACAGATACATATGTACTCTAGTTTGGTTCTAAAGTTCCATCCATTTTAAACAGACCATGTATGAAACATGGAACAAAAATTATTTCCCAAATTTCAAAGACCTGCAAATCATGTAAATAAATGGATGTATTTCATCATATCTTGTGTTATTCCATCTTTGAACTGCATTATTGCCCAAAAAGTGCTGCATATTTCATTCCCTCCGTTACTGACATGAGTTTTTACATTTTTTGTCATCAACATGAAAGAATCTCACAGGTTTAACTTTACCCTGTTGGAGAGTAACTCTTTCCTACATTCTGATACTTTACTTATTTCAATAGTCCCTCTAGTTTCTGAATAAGAGACATTTGAATGTCAAAAATCTGCCCGTTTCCCTCCGTTACCACTTGACCGGACCCATTTACGTGTTTGAAGGTCGACAAAAAGCTGAAGTTCCAGCTAAAGCCGTTCTTTATATTCAGATTGTGTTAAAAGAAAGCTCAGATTAAAGTCTAATTTGAGTAATAGAACTTCAGACAAAGCAGTGCGTACAGTTAGTTTGATGTCATCAGATGCAAAGTGTTAATATGACTTGATAATTTGAAAAACATCAACTCTAATCCATCTTGTATTTGTACGGGACGCTTGAGCAGAGACAAAATGCAACTCCACATAAACCACTCTCCCTGATCTCACCGTCAGACGAGTGGACCAGTGCGCCTCCCCACAGCGCCCCCTTGTGTGCTGACCTTGCCGAGCTGCTGGTGCTTGCTGAGCTGCTCCAGGATGTGGCCGACCTGAGTGTGGCTCAGCAGAGAGGCCATGTTCCCGCCCTGGTTCTTACAGAAGTGCTGCCCGTTGTCATAAGTGTCGGAGCTGGAGTTGATCTTCAGACAGGACTCTCCAACATGGTGCCAGCCCTCGTCACACACCTCACCTGCACACACACACAGACACACACACACACACACACACACACAAGGATCAGTGTTGGGAAGGTGACTCTTAAAATGTATTCCCCTACAGATTACAGATTACAAAGCCCAAAATGTAGTTTGTAACAGAATCCATTAAATTACTTAAAGTGAGTAACATAATCTGAATACGTTGGATTACTTCATTTACTGTAGAGAAGCAAAGATGAGGAAATCGTAAGATAAGATGTTTTGTCTGATAAAAGAAAAGAAAAGCCCAGATTTTACTGAATCAAATAAAAAGTATTATTGATAGAAAAAGAGGAGACACATCCACACAGCATGATTTAGTCCTGTTAAATCCTGTTTTAGTCATGTTTTAGTCCTTGTTTTAGTCCTGATTTAGTCCTGGTTTAAATCTGGTTTAGTCATGGTTTAGTCATGGTTTAAGACCTGGTTTTAGATCTGGTTTAGTCCTGGTTTTAGACCTGGTTTAGATCTGGTTTAGATCTGGTTTAGATCTGGTTTAGATCTGGTTTAGTCCTGGTTTAGTCCTAGTTTTAGACCTGATTTAGTGTCCGGCAATGAGTGGGATTACCGAAAAAAAAAGGATTTAGCCCAAAATGTGAAAACAGGAAAATCCCGCCGTGTAATCCATTTATTTCAACAAAGTAACTGTAATCCAATTACCACTCATTGAAACAGTAACTGTAACTGAATACAGTTACTCATAATTTGTACTCTGATTACGTAACTCCAGTACATGTAATCTGTTACTCCCCAACACTAACAAGAACACACAGGAACACACGCTGAGGGACGACTGAAGAATTTTTGTTAAGAGCTCGTGGACAGTATATTGATCTTGGTTCATTTTATAATATGGTAATGTAGCTCAACAGTCCTGCCCTAATGTGGTCATTAGTCTCCACCACAGACTGTATGAAAAGTGGAGAGTGTGACGTCACCCACAGTTTGGCTCAGGCTTTATATAATGAATAGGACTTTTTTTTTTTTTTTTCACAAAATAGTGAAATAAAAACACCAGAATCATGGAGAGTGGGTTAATATGAACGTTTTAAGCCCAAAATATTCACCTTTGGCTCTGGCTCGTCTGTAAAGAGCATTGCAAGTATAAGGCAGAGTTATTATTAATATTCACAAATTGTTCTCAGTGCATCATTATTTTCTTTTTGAACAGACTAGTGAGTTACAATAAAAATAGAAGTGATACAAAGCTGCAGAGGTGACTGTTAGCAGCATACAAAATAGCACTAATTATAATCTATCCCAGATGAACATGTTGTAATTATTTGACAATAATGATAATAACAGTTGCTGAATAAATCAAATGTTTTGTAAAGTTGTGTCCTCATCCACACATACATACATGTGTGTTGTTCTGGATGTTCACACTCGTCACAATACAAACAGACCAGGAGCAGGTCCACTACTCAGGATATTTGCTGCCTTTAATGAAATGATGTAAGTGTAAATATGAAGGTGCTGCACCTGCATAAATGGTCAAATAACCCTCACATTTTACAGAGGAAACTAGAAGAAAATTATTCTGGGGCTTACTGCCTTTTTACTGTCAAATATCAACCTCAACATCCACCAAAAGACAAATGTCATCAAAACAACACACACACACACACACACACACACATGCACACATACACATGCACGTGCACACACACACCATAAATGTCAAAAACATGTCAGGATACACCAGACATGTCCAAACTGTGGCCCATGGGCCAAATGCGGCCCCCAGACACATTTTTCTTGGCCCTCAGGCTTCCAGGTGAATTGGCCCAAATGACCTTGCATCAATGAAAAATTTACTTTTTACTGCAAGTTTTTTGAACATCTACCTTGATAAAAACTAAGTATTAAATATGAAGTGTGTAGTTTCAAGGATCTTAGCATGAAGAAAAAACGATGGCTCATTCTAACGTGTTAAACATGCAAATATTTCAATTATTCAGTGTATTGAGCTCCAGTCTATGGCCCTCGATCGGCCCTCTGCTTCGTCTGTGTTTAGATATGTGGCCCTTGATGAAAAAAGTTTGGACACCCCTGGGATACACCATGCAATGTGAGGGTTATTTGACCATGTATGCAGCTGCAGCACCTTAATATTTACACTTACATAATTTCGCCTGCAGCTTTTTCTAAAAAGGGTGTTTTTTGGGCCCTGAGACCAAACAGGGCCCAGTTGGGATTAGTCCCTATCAACTTGTGATGGCCCAAGACAAGATAATAGGAAATAATAGTGAAAAAAGTAGCACAAAACATCCCGAGGAGTGGACCTGCTGCCGGCCTAAACCTCCTTTCTTGCCACAGTTGTCCTGGTGTAGAGCGTCAGGAGCAGTGAGTCGGTCTGAACCTTCAACCCTCCAACCACCACCACAAACACAATAACTGAACACACTGGTCAGAGCCGGGACAGAACCACCGACCTTATTGAGTCATTTTGGAGCAGTCCTTCAGTCTGCTCAAACAGCTGCTCTGCATTATGATGTCATCAGATTAGGTCGACTTTTTGGATCATTTCACTCCTCAAATTGCTCTGAACTTTGCGTCTCACCTTTGACGGTAGCTTCTATTTTGAGCCATGAACTGTTTCCCTCTCTGTTGTTTTTATTGGTAAAAAATGGAAAAAAGACACGTGAGAATGTTCCAGAAACGACCCGGAGTCAGAACAGAGGAGAGTAAAATCAGTTTTACATAATCTACAGTTTCCTTTAAACAGGTCCAGTGTGCTCCCTGTGCTCTGCCTGAATCAGACACGAGAACTGCACTGCTCAATATACCCCCAAAAAAAACACTCTGCTCATGTATACACAGAAAAACAGAGAGATGAAAAGACAGAAGGAGAGGAAACTAGAGAGAGAGAGAGACACAGAGAGAGAAATATATGTAGAGAGATGAAAAGACAGGAGAGGCAAATATAGAGAAAGACACATAGAGAGTAATGAAAAGACAGAAAGAGAGGGAAAGAGAGAAAGACAAAGAGAGAAGGAGAGAGATGAATAGAGAAAGAGAGACAGAAAGAGAGAAAGAGAGAGAAACAAAGGGAGAAGGAGAGAAATGGACATGGAGAGAGAAAGAGAAACAGATAGTGAGAGAAAGAGACAAAAAAGAGAGAAAGAGAGAGAAACAAAGAGAGAAGAGAGAGACGAATAGACAAAGAGAGAGAAAGCGAGATAGATAGACAGAGAGAAAGAGAGAGAGACAAAGAGAGAAGGAGAGAGATGAATAAAGAGAAAGAGAGACAAATAGAGAGAAAGTGAGACAGATAGAGAGAAAGGGAGATGAATAGAAAGAAAGAGATTGAAAAAAGGAGCCGAAGAGAGAGAAAGAGAAGAGAAGGATAAAGCAACATAGAGAGAAAGACAAAGAGTGAAAGAGAGATGAATAGAGAGAGAGAAAGAGAGACAACGAGAGAAAGAGAGAGATGTACAGAGAGAGAGAGTCAAATAGAGAAACAGAGACAAATAGAGAACACGAAAGATGAACAGAGAAAGAGAGAGAAGAGAGAAAGAGAAGCAAATAGAGAGAAAGAAAGACAAAGAGTGAGAGAGATGAATAGCTAAAGAGAAAGAGAGAGAGACAAAGAGAGGAAAGAGAGACAAACAGAGAGAGAGATGAACAGAGAGAATGAAAGAGAGAGGTGAAGAGAGAGAAGGAGAGAGCAGGTCGTTGTTTACTCTGGCCTGTGGAGCTGCTTATTTTCCCTCACATGTTGTGGCTTCTTCATCTGCCTCTCTTCTCCCTTCATCTTTATTTAGAGCACGAGGAGACGCAGTGAAACGGAATGAGACCAGACCAGACCAGACCAGACCAGACCAGACCAGACCAGACCAGACCAGACCAGAGCAGACCAGACCAGACCAGAGCAGAGACCAGACAGAGCAGACCAGACCAGACCAGAGCAGACCAGAGCAGACCAGAGCAGACCAGACCAGACCAGACCAGACCAGAGCAGACCAGAGCAGACCAGAGCAGACCAGAGCAGACCAGACCAGAGCAGACCAGACCAGACCAGACCAGAGCAGACCAGACCAGAGCAGACCAGACCAGAGCAGACAGACCAGAGCAGACCAGAGCAGACCAGACCAGACCAGACCAGACCAGAGCAGACCAGGCCGGGCTAAACAGCAGGAGCAGGGTAAACAGTGGTGTGAGGCTCTGGTGTCTGTGGGAGCAAAGGTGCTGCATGTGGGAGAGTGTGGAGACAGAACACAGGTCCCAGACAGAGGAAGCCGCTCTCTCTGCTCTTATTTGTCGCTCTCAGTTTGTTTTGTGGCTCGTCATCACAGAAACGCACTGGGACAATTATAGTACTTCTGTTATTCCAAGTCACAACACCATAAACGAGGAAACTGACCCAAAACAATCAAGACGGCAAAATGTTTATGTGGTTAAAGTTGTAAAAGTTGGTTAAGAAAGTGGCATGCACTGAGTTACATTGAATTTGACTTCTAATGACTATAACAGAACAGTATTTCATTGTGCTGCAGGCCTACTCACGAAGATCAGTCATGTTTTTCAGTCCATGTTTAGATTTGCCGTATGGTTTTATGTTATTATGTTTACATTTAACATATTAAAGGGCCAGTACTCTTTTTTTTTCCATGTAGTTGAACAAAATGTGTCTTTCTTCAGTACAGATACGTTGTATAAGCAGCTCTTGAAATCAAAATAAGTCTGCTGTGTTTTGTCTGCATCTAATTATAAAGTGTTTTTATTCTTCAACAATGAGGAAGTGCGCTGTTAGCATGGTAATCATTAGTGTTACTGTGAAAGTAAACTCTGCCCTGGTCATTGAAAGTTGTGAAAAGTGCTTATAAACTCATCACGGTGAATAATTAGGATGATCTGAATGCATAAGGTAAGTCAGGAAGTACTTAATAGATTAAAATAAACTAGTATTGTTTTTCACATTTTTAAGACTATATATAAAGGGTTAGGGTTAGGGTCAGGAACAGCACTATATAAAGGTGCACTATATAAC